TGTCCAGTGTTGGCGCCCCTCCAGTCGATGCCCTGGTCCTTCGCAAATTCCTGGGTACGCCACTGGTTGTGAGTGCCCAAACCGGTATTTGCAGGCCATGGCCACCAATTTGGCTATCTCAACTCAAAACTAATGTTAAGGTGGGAGTGTCCCTTTAAGAATTTATTGTCCTTACCAGAGGAATCGGTGTCTCTGCTTAGCTGAGCGTCTGCATCCGTACTCCCTACATGGTGAACCGCCTGCCAGGGTTTGCATCACAAACACCAGTACGAGCGGGAGCACAAACCAACGAGAAACACAGACAAGACACACGCCCATAATGTAAGCTGTACTGTGGCCTTCACTGCGCAGCGATTAACCAGTCTTGCGTCACAAGGGAGTGCCGTACTCATAACAGACTTTCATGGACGGCGCAAACCGCTTCAACTCATTGTACTTTGGCGTTTGTCAGGCCCAGACTGCCAGGTCACGCTACGCCAGCTGTTCTTACTCGATCTCGCTCCTTCGACCATGACTATTATACGCTAGCAGCTGCCCAGCCGCGCGCCGGTGCCAGCACACAGCTCATCGGCCGCGTCCCCTGTATGTTTGTGGATGTGACGCAATCGGTGCTCATGTGCGACGCTTTCGCTCGTGCTGGCTCTCCCAGAGGTCACGGCTCTGGTCGGATCGTCGGCCGCCTTGCGTGTTTTGCCTCATATCCCGTCTGCCGGCGTTCCTTCTGTTCCGCATTGCGTCTTCCCGAGCGTTTGTTTTACGTCTGCTAGCTGATTTTACTGCTGTAATTTCGATCACGCATCTGTTCCCCTGACGAGCCTGCTTCATATGCGCAAAGTACATATGTTTTCTCATTTATGATGGCGGCTCGAGTGTTGCGACTGCACAGTGCACACAGGTGCCCGTATCTATCCCGGGGGCCCGGGGCCTCGCAGAAGGTGGTTGCTGGTGGGTAATTGCCATGCGCTGACGGAACATACAACAAATACTGGGCATATGACCTGTGGAATATGCAGCAGGTGGATGGGTCATGCAGGTGGCAACCCGCCAACCCGTGTATTCATGTCTGGTTTTGTAATCCGTAACACGGCTGTGCAAGTGCACATATTTCACGGCTGCTGCGGTCTGATTGTTAGTCGTGTTAGCGTAATTGCGGCGATGCTAGCGTAATAACTGGTGGCGACCTTCACGGTGCTACGGTCACTCCGTCGCGCCGCCCCCTCGCCGAACCTCTGCCGTCGTAGACCAGCAGTACGTGATGGCTCGTCAGACAGGAACTCCGGCCGTGACACCACCCGTCACCATCCGTCACCATCGTCACACCGTCACGGGATGTGACGCTACAAATGATACGGGCGCGCTGCAGACCAGTTGTGTCCGGCCCCCACCGGACGGTGACGCCGGGCACATGTCCTGTGACGTCACACACACCTCGATGGCCGAGGTCATGAAGTGCAACATCGTATTATCAGCTACGGGCCGGGATGGTGCAGACTTCAGAATTTGTGCACGCAAGTGGTTGGTTGCCACGCCGAGTTCCCCATTGTGTAGCGCTATGTAAATGATGTTTGTACGGGGAGAATGTCTATTCTTGACCTTGGCGTTCGATCAGCGTGTGGTATACGGTACCATCCGTCCGTTTGTCTATGTTTATTCTTTTTATTTGAAGTTTCCCACCCGTTTCCCACTCAAATATCAGCCTATTTCATACGCAACTAATTCTAACCCACGTAGTTCCATGATCCATAACAGTACCTATTTGCTTTCAATACATGTGTCGAGTGGATGTTGCCGCCACGGTTGTGTATACTATTTGATTTACTAAAAAGTTAACCGCTCATTTTCGCTTCATTATCACAGGAGCTCCGTGTTTTTACACGAAAGTGTAAACGTGTCGACGGTTGACGTGTTCGGTCTGAATTCGACCGATAAAACTAACTGGTGCTTTGTGGACCCGCTCGATCATGTATTATGTACCTATTATTATGTGCCAGTCTGAATGGAAGTAACGCAGGCTGACTGTGCTGTGACCGTGTCCTCTGGTAACGGTTGTGTTTTCGTGTATCTTCTGAAGGTCGGTGTGGGCACGCCACTATGATAATATACACACCTCAGTGGTGTGTGTGTGTGGGGGGGGGGTGGAGGGCAGTAAATGAACAGCTGTGCGACGCGCTCACTGCAACACGGGGGGGGGGGGCGCACGCCCCTAGTGGGTACACTGGAGGGGGGGGGGCGCAGGGAGCTGCCGAGTAGGGGAAGGAGGGTGAATTGCGCCACCTTAAGGAAAAACGCTAATTGTAAGAAAACCGCTGGAGATATAAGCATGCATCGGTGACCATTTCAAAGAGGAACTCATTGGCTACAATTTAAGAGCCTCCCGATCAATTAAGAATGTTTCGTTTGCTTCTGACAGCTGCTTTTTCAGAAACATGTAAAAGGGCGCATTTGCCAACAACTGCTGTAAATTGCGCCAGGGGGATGGCGCAATTAGAACCCAATTGCGCCCTATACTTTAACATGGCTAAGCGAATGAGACGGAATGCATACACCCCCGCAGTCTAATGTCATTGCGGCTTACTTTAACATTCATAATGTTATTCACGCTGGTTAAATAATAAATTTAGGTGTAAATCGCGATGTTTTTTTGCCCAGGTAGATAACTTTACATGTGTTCGTACGCTTGTAAAAGTGCAACGAAAACGTTTACTGTAACCGACTAGATATATGTGAACGTATGCGCCTATACGGTTATATTTCCAATCGTTTCTCTCAAAATTAATAATTTTCATTATTTCGACAGTTTTATGACATCAGTTTTTACTTTTTTATCATAGCTGTCACCTCTCACGCCTGAGTCCATGTTGAAAATGTCGTATTTTGTCAATTACACAAGTTCGTAGCCTAAATGGCAGCTGCATTATACAGGGTGTCCGGATAGTTCTGGCGCTTTTCAACATTTTCTAAAACAAATGCCATTGGTTCATAGATACTAATCAATGGATCATAACAATGACCAGGGACACCAAGCCACATGCTTCCGCTACGTGCTCATTCAATGTAACCACCGTCGGCGCCGACGACGGCCTCGACGTAGGGAATGAAGCGTCTGCGGGTTTTGACGATGCGGGGCATTTCCAGGTCCTCCCATGCTGTCATGATGCGAGTCTTCAGCGACTCCAGGTTGGGGTGAGAAATGGCCTAGATCCTGTTCTACAAAACGCGTAGCACGCCTTAGTCGAGCGGGTCAGGTTAGGAGAATAAGGCGGCCTAATCTCATTTCGCCACGGTGATCTGGCCCGGCAAGCTCCTCTGTCAGTTTAGCTTGAATGGCGGCGGCGTTGTTGGAGGGTGCTCTGTGCTGTTGAAATGCGAAGTGACCCTTAGGGCATGTCGTCTTGACCCTCGGGTTGATGTGGCTGTCCAGGAACCCCTCGTGGGCCAGCCTGTTATTCATTTATTCGACATTGACGAAGATGATGGGACATTTTTGTCCATCAGACCCCCGCACTTTCTTCGATTGCCGCGTTGAAATGCTGCTCCGTTCCCATATCGCGTTCGAAACGGTCTGAGGATATTTTTTAAGGAATTCCCGAGTCGAAATAAACCTTTACCTGCTAAACCATTCATCGAAAAACGCCGCATCGCGCTGCAACTCGCGCCTCGTTCAAGTCGCACCCGGCCGCCGCGCGCAGGCATTCAGCGACAAGGCGCATCTTCGCCCATCTACCCATCACTGAAAACGATTTCAAGGTCATATTTACACGACCCCTGGCTGAGCAATCAACGAGGGGTCATGTCTGTGATGATTGGCTGAATGTCCAATAATCACAGCGCGCGTTACACGGCGTCCAAAAGAAGCGCCAGGACTTTCCGGACACCCTGTAAGTTTGACGAGAGAAATAATTTGCGGACTGACGACAGCGGGCTGCTCCCCTGCCTGACCTTAAACTCCTTCTTTATTGCAATCAGTTAATGATGCATTCATGCTGTCGTGATATACAATAGCTACACCATTATTCTATTTGCGCCCCCCTGGCGCAATTGCCATGGGCGCAATTAAAATTGAGGTACTTTTTAATAAAAGCGTGAAAGTTATCAGAAAGATGTTGAAGGAAATTAACTGTTTTAGTGAAATATAATGAAAAAAGGGTTTTTCTTTCTAAATATCACTCTGAAAATCACACAAATATCACACATTTTTATAGCCAACGGCTCAAAACACTGCAAAAAAGCTAAGAAAACGCCGTAACATCTTTGATGGCGTAATGAGCCTCGCTGATTGGCTTCATCGGGGAGCTTGGGCCATAAAAGGAACTATCCAGTGGGGAAAATAATGTTTTCGAACACAAAATTCAAACCATGCCATTGAATCCGTGGGAATGTTGGTGGGCGCAATTGGTTAGGAGGGCGCAATACACCCACTTTCCCCTATATAGGTACTGGGAACGATTGAGATAACTTATCTTTTTCTTTAGAATACCTGGACAGCTCACTTTTTAGAGTTCTTGTGTTCTGTCACTCACTTCTTTCTACATTTGATAGGCCAGCTCCACCTATATACCACCTCTTTTTTTCTTGCCTGCTGTCGAGCCGTTTCTGTGTCATTTGAGTTGCCGAGAATTTAAGCTGCTGTACTTCCTTGTCCTTCGCTCACGTGACCAGTGACCTCCATCGAAACTGTAAAATTCACGTCTGGAAACAAGCTATCTGGAATGTAATGGAATGAGGCGTGAAATGTAGCTGTTTTTCGCGCTTCTGTTCCATATGTATATCCTTCGCTTCACATTAGTACCTTACCGACACGATAGCACATATGTGCAGCCTGCCACTGTAATATCTGTGCCTCAGATATAGGTCGCATAGTCCCTAAGTCTGCCCCTTCAGATGACTGCGTTCCTTAGTCCCGGACTGTGTCCGGACAGGCTCTATAGTTCCTGAGTCCCTATGGGTGTACTATAGTCTCTAACTGCGTTATATAGTCTCTAACGCCCCTCGCTCCCCAGGTACAAGTCTGTCGAGGGCGGCGAGCAGGAGGAAGTCATCGGCGACAGCAACGTGATCGTCGAGGGCGGCGTGCTCACCATCAAGAAGCCGACCGAACTCGACGCCGGAAACTACACGTGCAGCTTCGCCACGGCAGCCGTGACGGACAAAACGGTCCAGGAAACCATCCGCGTCATCAGTGAGTGTCCGAGCTGTCTAAAAAAGGTCACACTGGTCATTCAGGTCACACTATGACAAACGCAGGTTACACTCTGACCATCCAGTTTATCATTAAGTGTCTGTTATCGAAAAGGGGTCACATGACACCATTTTCGACGAATTAAAAATCATCAAATTAAATGGTCATGCAGGTCACGGCGTATCATAATTGAATCGCTGCAATAGCCGTTGATTAATGAATATCTAAAAGTTCGCATTATTATTTTGTAGATTGATAATGGTTTCTTTGAATTGTTTAATGTTCATAGTCCGTGCTTCTGTTTTGTCCTGCAGCGAATGTGACCGTTGCTATGCCGAGCCAGTCGATCAACAAACAGGAGGGAGATGAGGTGGTCATCCTGTGCGAGCCCTTCGGACGGCCCCGGCCCGCCGTCACTTGGACCAAAGGCGAGTCGCCGTCACCAAAATAGATCTTAGTCTGCCGTGACCCAACTGTCCTGGACCAAATGTAGCTTATGCCCAGGCTCCACTACGTTTTCGGTGCGATTTTGCGATAATGTGAGAATTCGATGCCCTTGGGAATGCCAGAAAATGTCCGTCTTGTGCACTTTGCGGAAATCGTATTATTGCAATGTCATGCAATAAATGTCAAGTAATAAATGTAATAAATGTAACGTCATAAATGTAAATGTCACGCAATATCGCTCACGCATTATCACATTATCGCAAAGAAGTTCAGATGCCTGAACTTTTTTGCGATAACGCGATATCGCAATATCGCAAAATCTCAAAATCGCACCGAAATCGCGTAGTGGAACCTGTGCTTCAGTCCACGTGACTGAGCCAAAGGCTGCTCCATTCCCTCACCTAAACCAAAGGGGTCTGTCTGTCTGTCCGTTCTGCTGCCGCTGTGCACGTGAGCCCTGCCCGGCCGGCGGTGCTGCCCGTAGTGAACCCGCTGCTCCCGGCGGTCGTGGCGGGACCGTTGGGTAGTCTGGGCGGTTTACGGCCGCGCCGTGGGCTCGTATGACAGGTTATGGGTGTATTCTGCATCGCTCTGCACGGCTGGAGCGGTGTCGGGCAGGAGTGGCGTCCGCTGGCCAACCAGGGAGAGCATGAATGGAGGAGGGAGGGAGAGCGGGCCGCTCTAGCTAATTATGCAAACTTCGTGGGCAGAGAAACGATACCAGAGATACGAAATACAAACTTCGTGGTATTTCGAGTAAGGTGTTCTTAATGTGGAGAAACGCAGGGGAAATGATTGTAAGCGTGGGGGGGGGGGGGGTGTCTGCGATCTCTCACTGCGGTCACGTTTCTGTCCGTTTGATATATGTGATAGGGTTGTTCGACTCTTTAGTGCCCAGGGTTGTTCATGACGAGTGAATTTTTGTGTTCGAAACGGAAAAGTGAACCCCCCACACGTCTGTGCACTGGTAACTTGTCTCTTCGATTTTGCGCACGGATAACTTCTATACTACCCTCCCACTCACGCTACCCGCTACCATTACCATCCCTTCTAACTGCCTCCCCCCCCCCGTCACGGCAGACGGCAAAGACGTCAAGGTCGCCATCAAGAACTCGACGTCACGCCTGACGCTGAGTGCCGATGACGACGGCAATGTCGACGCGCGCCTGACGCTAACGGATCTGCTGCGCCCGGAGGACGCTGGAGACTACTGCTGCCGTGCGGAGAACCTGGCCAACGCCGCCGAGGCCTGCATCATCGTCAGGGTCAAGGGTGAGCGGCGCGGGGGTAGACTGTATGGACTGTGAACTGTGGAGGAGTGGAGGGTGTTTTGGGGTAGGTAATCAAGGGGGTTAACTTAACTACTTACACTACTAAGGTGGTACAGGGGTTGCCGGGGACGACACTGGATGCCTGCGGGTAACGAGTCGGCTCAGGGTTGTCTGTTAAGTGTTTGGTGCATGAAAAGCCGCCGTGTGTGTGGGACTAGCACTCAGTACCAGCGTTCGGATAGCTTGCGACCCAATTGGCTCATTGTATGCTAGCGAAACGTCCACTATTAAAATTTTATTTCGTTTCAGCAGAGCATGCTTAACACAATGCTGTGTATTTCCGCAGACAAGTACGCCGCTCTGTGGCCGTTCATTGGCATTGTGGCCGAGGTGATCCTTCTGACGGCCATCATCTACATCTACGAGAAGAAGAAGAGCAAGCCCGACATGGACGACAGCGACACCGATAACGGAAACGACAAGTAAGGGAAATCAGACTAGGTGTGTAGAAACGCTACGATGATGTATCTACTATCTAGTCGTGTAGTTAACGGGTTGTGCGGATTTCTGGTTATACTATTTTTCGAAGTGACACTAAGCTCTCACGGTGTGCCGTTTTAGACCAGTGTTCAAAATTTTGTTGATTTAGGAGATAAACACATCTAAATAATATCAGCTTTCAAACCTCAACTCTTAGTCTATTTATGAACGTTCTTCTTCTCCCAAAGTCATTATGACCGTTCATTGGTCATTGTATCCAAATTTCATCCTCTTCCTGAATCCTGATTCATTTTCTGTTTTCGGGTGTTCCTGGCCTCTGACACCGAAGTCCAAATATGACTATGGAACACTGTTCCACATCATTTATTGCCGCATGCTGTTTTAGTGCTGGCGCCAGCCTTCTTGCGTTTGTGGCTTCAGAAGTGTGAACGGTACATTGCTCACACTTTCGTTTTGTCTGTTTTGTTTCCCTCAGCAGGCCGGAGCCGAAGGGAGACGTCCGCCAGAGGAAATAGACATCTAGCGGCAAAATCCAGCACCTGTAGTTTCATCTTTGCCCGCCAGGTGGCCGGCGCGCGGCGAACGGGCGAGCCCCGGTCGGTCTCTGGGTGGCTTTAACGGAGTTCTCCGCTGTCTCGTGGTGGCCGATACTCTGTTAGCGATACTCGCCGCTCTGATAGGGGTGCGACAGGTGGAGACGCTCTCTCTAGTAGGCCGTGGGCCGGGGCGAGCGGCGCGGAGCTCCTGGACCCTCGGAGAGGGACAGTCTGTAGCAGACTTCCCTCCTCTGAGTGGCGCCTCGAGCCCTGATTATGGATTGGCAATAGTGTGAGAGGTGATTTCTTTCTCGCGCGCGTCGCCCGCTGCCTTAGCTTCCGCCGGCCGCTAGTCACAATCTGTACCGGCAGATGGCGCTGTCGGCGCTGGCTGGCGAACGACCCAGTTCGACTCAAGGCGAGAACGAGGTCGTAAATCGAGACTCACTTTCAGTCTGTAGCTTAGATCAATGTGCGGTGATGTGGGTTGTAGACGTCTCTTCGGCGGGGTATGTGTGCGTTATTTACCAATATTGAGGCTCGTTTGTCCCCCCCCCCTCCCCCACGGCAAACAGTTGCCGTAGCTGCAGTGTGCCCCTCCCCCTTAGGCGGATGCCCGTTATATTGTTGGTACTAGAGACTTCTATGGTGCGCGTTGTATTTGACTTGGTTTTACCCGTAGACGCAGGCTGCTCTGGTTTTGATATAGGTTCGGCCTTGCTAATTGGTGTTGTGGTCAGCTCTTATCTGTACGCGATCGGCGCGGTGTTTCGGCCCGTTAAATTACAATAAATGACCCTAAATTAAACCCATATTTGGATGGATCGAACCTCTCCTGTCGCTAGCCAGAATCAACCTTATTACCTAAATACCTAACAAACCCTCTACCAAGCACGGCACATGCGTAATGTTTGCTACCAGTGGCGCGGGAACCGGGAGGGGGGGGGGGGGCTACCGGGGGCTGAGCCCCTCCAACTTTTCGGCTGGGAAAGGGGGGGGGCCTCGTAATGTATTTGAGCCCCTCCATCTGGAGGAATCGAAATCGGAAATCTACCACCATGATTTCATAGATTCATACATAGGCGCGGGAACCGGGGAGCAGTGGAGGCAGCTTGCACCAACTATGGGGCCGTGGGGGCGGTGCCCCACAACCTTTCATATGGCCAGGAACCGTTGGGACAGCTTGTCCTCCCCAAATTAGGGGTTGTGGGTTACAAAGGAAGAGAGCATGTAAGCGAAAAATCCACCTCTTTCACTGTCTCGGCAACTCATTTGGCAGATTAAAACCTTTATTCCAGGTTGCCAAAACGTTTCTTCGCTCAGCTGAGTGAGACGGCATACCTCACTATTTTGCAAATGTTTTCGTCATTTTTTCGTTGAAAAGGCCAAAGTGTGAAAATAAGTGGCCTAAAACCGGTGAGAAAACTATATTTGAGGGTATCCTAGGTTGATCTCTATTATGGTGCAGCAGTGGCGCGTGGCAGATCCAGCTCAGTTGTTTGGGGGGTGGGGGCAAACCATAACAATTTATAAGAATTTATCGATTCTTTCCATGCCTCGTCCATAGGCGTAATAAAATTATGCCGTTTGGGAGGAGCAAATGCCCATTTTTTTTGCCCCCCCCCCCTGGATCCGCCACTGTGGTGCAGCCCCCCAGTCTGGAAGAAGTTCCCGCGCCACTGTTTGCTACTCTGCCCAGGTGCATACCTGTTCCGCTCGCACAAATACCGTCCCAACTGATGAATAATAACAGCGTGAAATAGCGACCAAATGGCCATTTGTAAGTTGAATTATACACGAAATGTTCGCCAAACGCGTTCTGCTTGGCTTTGGAGGAAATAATTGACCAGCACACAGCAAACGATCTAAAACTTTAAATTCCCCTCCTGAGTTGTGCATTGGGTTCAGCTGCCAACGGCCTTGCATATGTCGCATCCCTCTCGGCAGCATCAGACTGATGGATCAGAATGTATTGAAAACGGCAATAAACTCTCGAAGAATAAGTTCCTACAAGAACACCGAGATACTCGAGTGGCTTGACTAAAAGACCGACTACGACCGCACACACCGAGGCGGAAAAATTCCGACTCACATTCTCGATTAAAAGAACCAGCAATCTCTACAAAGCTACTGGTAGGGACAAAACGACATATTCAGGACATTTAACCAGATCGAACGTTAGCATAAAGGAAGTCTCACATGCAATGCGAGCCTTTAAGTTCATTCACGAAAACCACGAGGCCCACAATCTTACGGGAACAGCATTCTTTCCTCCAGGCTCGATCATTCAGTTTGCACTTGCGCTCAAAAGTTCAGTATAACTCGGCTACTAGTCCTAGTTCATCCACACAAGACAAGGTACCCCTAGCGTTCACACTTGGTCATCTAACGTCCATCCGATTCTCACTAGCGTCCCCTCGCGCAGTGCGCTGTCCGCGACTTTTATCGGCCTAGTCGGACGAAGCACAAGTCTTTTTCACCGCTCCATGGCAACAAATACCTCACCTTGTCCACTCATAGCGTAACGCTCAGTCCAGTGTAATCATTTCTACGTCTCCAGAGGATGAGGCGGCTTTCGTCGGAGCGGGGACAGCTTTCGTTGGAGCGGCGGCAGCAGCTGGAGCGTCCGTAGCCGCAGCGGCAGGGACGGGCGCAGCGGCGGCTCTCGCCAGCGGCAAGCCACGAGGCAGAGAGATCAGAGTTATCTTGCGAGGGGCCGACTCGGGCGCCCTGGTCTGAGCCGGTCCGGGGGCGGAGGTCGGTCCAGAGGTCTGCGCGGAGGAAGGAGCGGGGGTTACAGCGGAAGTCGAGGCGGAGCCGGCCGTCACCGGCGTCGGTATCAGCCGGCGCGCCGTCGGCTGGCCGGCCGTCACGGCCGTGGGAGTCAGCCGTCGCGCTGCCGTCGGCTGGGCCGCCGACACCGGAGTGATGGTCAGCCGCCGACCCGGAGCGGGGGCGGGGGCGGCCGGCGAGACGCCCGACGGGCCCGGCCGTGGTCCCACCGTCGTCAACGGCACGCGCCGCTTCGGTGTGCCGCCCGCCGCGGCGCTGGTGGACGGCCCTGCAGAGCCACCGCTGGTGGACGGACTCGCCTTGAAGAAGGTGGCGATCCCCGGCTGGGCCGGCTGGCCCGCCGCCGGCCCCTGCGGCGAGATCAGCTTGGTCGGCACGATCTTCCGCTTGGCCGGCGGCGGGCTGAGGAGCTCGCTGCGCGCCTGCTCCGCCGTCACCACTTTGGCGAACTTGGTGATGAGTGAGGTGGCCGCACGGGCCCGCTCCGGCGTGGGTACCGTCGCCACCTCCGCCCCCGCCGCCGTGGGGGACACACCTGGAGTCGCGCCCTTGGACTGACGCGCCGCCGTCTTGGTGATCCACTTCCACTGGCTGGGTAGGGGGAGCTCCACCCCCAGGGAGGCCAGAACGTCATCATTGACCATCCAGCAGCAGCGACCCTGCAGCGGGCCCTCCGCTGTGCACCGGGTGTAAGAGGCGATGGCCACCAACTTATCCTCGATCTTCTTCTTGGAGAGCAGCGGGCCGCCGGTGGGAGTGCCCTCGGCGGTAGACGGTGGGGTCTGGCCGGCCGCCGCCGCCGCCGCTGCCGGATCAGCCTTCCGCGGTGAGCCGCCGTGCACGCGCCGTTTCCAGAAGGCGGCGAACTCGCGCACCAGGAACGGCTTTCCGCGTGTGCTTCCGTGAACGAGACGCGCCAGAGGCAGCAGCGCTGGCGACGGACGGAGGCGAGGTCAGATGGGGAGGAGCTCCAATCTTTCACGTATCCACACAATTATATGACGCACACCAGAATCGAGCCAAGACATTGACCACTCCGTTGCAAATTATGACTGATACTATTATTGTCAGTTATCGTGAACAGTGAACACATTGTATTTCAGATTGCATGAAGACCAGATACTCTGCGTTCTTAGAAATACGAGGCTCAACGATTTATCCTGAGCACCGAATCTTCCCTCACATCACTTAGCATGCTACCAAAATAATACCCCTTACCACTGTCCCACGCCACGCCATCCCTCACTCTCACACCCCTCACCTTCGCTGGGGAACTTCTTGAGGAACTTTAGGCCGGTCTGCGCCGAGGAGGCCGGCGTTTCGGAGGGCGAGGGGCCGGCCAGGGGTGTGCTGGCCACCTCTCCACTGGCCACAGTCGGTACGGGCAGGGTGGAGAGAGCGCGAACGGCGAACGGCCGCAGCAGCTTCAGCAGCTGCTGGAACACTGTGGGTGCGGAGAGAGACCAGTCAGGAGTGTCCGGAGACTCGGGGCATGCCCCGGCAGTTCACCTGTGCAGGTGCTCTGGTACCGGGCGTGATGCAAGAATGATGCACATGACTAGACGAATTCAAGCACGATAATAATCGATGTTACTACGTTTTACAAAAAGGCTAGCTGTGATTTTGCGCCTTTGAGAAAGGTAATGCAGCGAGCCATAAGTTCAATTTTTAACCATGGGACAGGTTCTTACTGGGATCGGTGTTTGTGTCGTCCCTCCAGACGCAACCGATGAGACGCGGCTTCAGCGCCGTCGTCTTCTTCTTCATTTCCTTCTCAAACTCCTCGCCCTTCTCCTTCAGGCGCGCCTTCTGAGCCTCCGGCGACTGGGGAATGGAGGGAAATATATACTGTGATGTCACCGTTCACCGCAGCCTCAGGTCAAGCTACGAAAACCGACTGACATGAAACGGCTAGGCATAAGGCATCGCACATGGCATCAGACTTCACAACAGTGACACGGCCCGTCATTGAAAATATATCCAAAATACAGAATGTACCGACGTAACAGCTGCTTCTCGCGTTTCATGGTATACTCACAATCATCTCCTCTTCATCCTTCATCTCTTCATCACTGAGGTAGCCGTGAGGCACAAAGTACTCGTTGTCCACTTCGTAATCATCCTCAGACTCCACCTCCTGCAGAAAGGGCGATATGGTCAGAGCAGCTAGCGACAGACGCTACAGTGTCACACCATACAATTACATACCGAGCGCAGAGATATTGCTGATTTAGCGGTCGGTTTTCCGACCGAATCTCGTACCTTCTCTGACCCGCTGAGACTCTCTCCGTTGGGATCCTCCTCTTCCCAGTCATCGTCAGAGTCCTCCTCGTAGTTGAGAATCTGAAACACACGGCAACATCGTCAGAGTCCTCCTCGTAGTTGAGAATCTGAAACACACGGCGACGTGAAATAACGTCACATCGGCAACATTTACAAACGAGTTGTCACGCTTTACACACCGCGGCGCTTACCACAGCCATATCCCAAAACATCGTCCGCTTCCAAAGAAGACATACCATTTTTAATTTTAACATATAGCCTGATGGACTAACTCAGTGCCCACCCCAGGTTTGCGGTGCCCAACCATTTTACTGCAAGCTATTCCTAGGCAGCGTCACCCACCCCTCTCCCATTCGCTCCCCTCCTGGGCCGAGATCGACACTTGGGTTCCACCCGTACCTCCGCCTTGCCGAGCGGCCGTCGCCCGCTGACCACCGGACACCGCTTGCTCCAGGTGCCCCAGTAGGCGGGCCGGCGGTTCTCGTGGAACATGAGCAGCTTGTAGCGCAGTTTACGGGCCGTGGCTGCCGCCGTCGAGAGGTCAATGTTCTGACCCAGTCCGTCCAGCTCGCGCTCCTCGTCCTCATCCTCCTCTGTGAATGGCACGGCAGGGACAGTTAGACGTTAATAAGTAATAACTGACATTTTTGTTGCATCGCATGGTGACTGTCAGTAACTGACGTTCCACCATAAACTGACGCAATCTGACCATAATCAGTTTGTGGTGAGCTTACGTCAGGTCAGTTTTCCGTAAGGACCATTTGTTGACAAGAATAGTTGCAAGTAATGCTTAAAACTATTGGTTAGTAGTTAGTACGCTAGTCCTGAAAAATTAAAATAGTACCACCGACGTAGGGAACAATGAATAACTTGCACTTTTCAGATACCTTTCATTTCATTGTCGAAAAGTTGCCGAATGAACTGTCAATAGCTGATCCATAACCACACCCGACCCCAGCCCCGCGCCTGCCGGAGCGCACTGACCGATGATCTCGAGGTCCTTCTGCAGCGGCGGCAGGGTGCGGCTGCGACTCTGCGGCTGTCGGCAACCGGAGCGCAGCTCAGACAGGTACAGGCGGTCGCGCGGCGGTCGCTCCGGCGCCGCCAGCGCCTGCTCGAGCTGGCTACTCTGGCCGGCCGAGAGGGCGGTCCGCGCGCCCGGCGCCAGCACCATGTCTTCCTTCACCTGAGCGGCAGAAACGGGAGGGGTGGATTCGATAAGTGAAATATAATGTAGGTTTGATCAATGTATGCTACACACTTTTCCCATATGGGTGGATATCACGATCAACCAGTCCTCAACTTCTGCATCGCACAGGGCAGCGATGCAAAATAACCATGAAAAGAATGTTGACAATTATTAAGAAAACGCGAAAAACGCACGCAGACAGAAGCTCAAATACCAAGCCAAGTGATGATTAGAACGGGGCTTCGATGACCAGCTCACTGGGTTATGATTTTTTAATTAAGTACTGAGCGATCTCGGATTGTGATGGCCGTGACAGACAAGGAAACAAAAAGCAAAAATATAACTATCACCGAGTGGTCACGCATAGACATATGCATTTTGAATGTCAGGCCCATGCTATTCGATGCTTTTAACCCACACTTTTATCAGAAGCAAGTCGTGAACCAGTTTGCGCGGAGGAACGAATCAACCCATACTTACCCTGAACTCCTGGAAGAGTTTGTTATCGTCTTCCTTCTGTTCTTCCTGCTCTGCTTCAGCTTCTTTTGGCGGCTTCTTCACGAAGAAGCTGGAGAACATCGACTTAGCCTTTTGGAGTTTTCTTTGCTCTTCTTCCTCGGCCTTGCGCTTCTCCTCTTCCTTTCGATTCTTCTCCTCTTCTTTGGCCTGTCTTTTCTCGTCGATCAGTTTCTGTTTCTCCGCTTCCTTTTGTCTATAAAAAATGAACTTTTGTGAGCATTCCAACATCGAGATGTAAATCGATACTAATACGTAAAAACAGCAGTGAGCTTTCAGCTTGCCCTACACATCTTTATATTCCCAACTCCACTGATGACAATACCCTAAGGCTTTAGCACCTTAATGTCATCGTCCATTCGACTCGTATACATCAAACCGGGAATCACCGATCTTGCGTTGTGACCTGACATTACGTCTTGGGAGAATTAATTACGAGAAAATCCAGCCGATCGGAGATGAGGATAGAAGTAATAATAGTAGCGATACGCTTGGAGTTCAATGTTATACCGTAAGTGACGCGTAACAAAGTCATGCTTCCAATAAGAGGGAGCACATCTCAAGGCGGATGGCGCCTTGCAAATTTACCTTTCACATGCCAACCCAGGTTCCAATACTTACCTTTGCTTCTCCAGCTTCTCTTTTTCTTTCTCTTGACGTTCTTTTTCTTTCTTCTCTTCTTTTTCCTTACGTTCCTTCTCTCGTTTCTCCTCCTTCTCTTTGCGCTCCTTTTCCTTTTGTTCATGCTTTTCTTTCCTTATCCTTTGCTTCTCTTCTCTGCGGCGTTGTTTCTCCTCCTGTCAATAAAATATCCCGATAAAGAAGCGTTCAGTAAAACCGAAATCGTATCCGAGGCAAATCGTTGCATTACCAATCCTGTGGGATTTTCTACGAACTGTCAATTCCTAAAGAATGAAGGAATTTTGGATCATTTCGATGGTTTTAGAAGCAATAATTTCCAAAATAATTCCGTGCTTGAAGACAATTAATTTAACCTTCCAGGCGGTGGGAAGGGGAAGGGCATTTTTTTGCCCCCTTTAGTTTTTTCGATATATCTCGAGAACCGCTGCGCAGATCGTCACCAAACTTTCAGTACCCTCCCGGGAGTAGCTAGCGCACATGGTGACCAAGAATTTTTCCAAAGGCTATGATAGGTTGGCCGCTAATGACGTCATTTTTGCCATTTTCGACCCAAACAAAGGTTTCGCGGGAAGAGCTCTCAGGCCTACAGCTTTAGAGATACAGAAAAATGTTCCAGACATAAAAGGTGTGGAATTTGAAGGGCTACAAAACTGCTGTTTCGGTTTTTCAATTTTTTTATTTTGACCCCCAAAAATAAAAAAAATAGATTTTTTGAATATAATAGCCGAAAAATCCAAAAAGTTTTTTGAATTTCGAACAAAACGGAATATGTGTGATAGTCCCTACCGCCTTCTATCTACATACCAAATTTGAGATCAATACCTCTTTTTTTGGCCAAGTTATAGCGAAAAAACTGTTCAAAATTGATGACGTCAAATTTTCAAACTCAATTTTTAGCAATTCTAGACCTCGTAGCGCAAAACAAAGACCACCATTAGACTCCCCGTGACGAGCGAGCTGCATGGAATCGATACCCATTTTATGCAAAAATATCAACTTTGAAATTTGACCTTTTTTGACCTGACCTTGACCTGACCTCCACCAGAAAGTGACCTAAACCGTACCTGATGGTCTTATAACCAATACCATTGAGTTGGAAATGAAAAACTGGCCATAAAACATGCATCGCACAACCTTAGTAAAGTTGGGTAATGGGTTCATGTGGTGACCCTTGGTGACCTTTGGTGACCTGACCTGGTATGACCAGTGACCTCTAATAGCAACATATGTACTAGACAACTGACGCCTTATCGCTGATTTTCGACAAAATGCGTTTTACTCGGTGTTATAGCGCTTCCCCTAGAAGCCCCGTGAACGGTGAAACATTTTATCTTTGACCTGACCTGTGAGTGTGACGTCATCGGTGACCCCGAGGTCAACAAAATTTGGTTTCCCTTCACAAATTTGACAGGGCTATCGAACGCCGTTTGAATTTTCCGGATCCGTCCAGTAGTTTCGGAGATACGAGGGGGGGGGGCAAAAAATGTCCCCCCCCCACCGCGCGGAAGGTGGCTGGGAGGCCCACCGCCTGCCGGGTAATGGTCATTACGATTTCCGTGTTTGGTCGGCTAGGATCCAGGCACACCGCACAAGCTTGCTTATAATTTTCAATTAATAAAAAACACAAAAATAAAATAAAAAAACAACACATTTACCGAAAAAGACAAAGTAAAGATCACACGAGTCTCACCAGTTTCTCCTGCTCCCGTTTGGCTCTGATGCGCTCCCGCTCCAGCTGCTTGGGCGTCTTCTTCTTGGTGACGACGATCCTCTTCGTAGAAGGAGTGGTGGGAGCGCTGGACGGCTGGGCGTCTGCGCCGCTCGCTGCCCCCTCCTCGGCTGACTTTGGCTTGGCGTCATCCAGCACCTCGACGTCATCAGCACTCTCGTCATCGGCGTCATCGTCCTTCTCCGAGTCGGAGCTATCGGCGGGCGCAGAGTCAGCGGCGGAGTCAACTGGCCGCTCGGCGGCTTTCGCAGAGTCATCCGCGGAGTCAGCCGGCGGCTCGGGGGCTTTGGCGGAGTCAGAGTCATCCGCCGTGTCCGCTCCTGCCGTATGTGCGGAGGCACTGTCCGCGTGCGGTATCTTTTCATCCGCAGCAGGCCGGTCCGCGGGTTCAGACATGGCCGCGTCACCGTCCTTATCAACAGTCGCCGCCGATTCAGATGTCTTTGTGGCCTCTTCGGGTTTTGTTTGAGAGACGTCAGATTCGTCACCCGATTGGGACTTCTTTTCTTTTGGAGTTGCAACAGCATTTGATAGCGACACGTCATGCTTGTCATCAGATTTCGTCTCCAAATTGTCTGCAGGCTGGACTTCTTCCTTTTCCGATACCATCGCAGTGTCACCGTTCACGGTAGCCTTTTCCGATATGTCGGCCTTATCCAATGTTTTGACAGGCTCCGATTCACTCTTCTTCTCCATTACAGCATCCCCCGACGCCAGCACGTCTCCGTCACTCGCCGCGTCCACCTCGTCCTTCAGCAGCGGCTCGGCCCTGTTCTCCTTGTCCTCGCTCGTGAGGTCGACCACGTCACAGGAGGTCGACACCTCTGGCACTGGCGATTCGACGCGCACAAACTTATCGAGCAGGGCGCGCGGCCGCCGCCGGGGCGAGCTGGCGCGCGGCTCGTCAGAGCTGGAGGTGACCTCAACACACTCCGGCTCAGCAGTCTTGGGCTTCTTGGGTACAGCAGCCTTGACATTGCCTGGGTCATCCTTGTTATAGGGGCGTTTCTTTACCGGTTGTGCTTTACTTGTACCACTTGCTGCAGCAGGAGTAACTGGACTTAGTATCTTGAATGGAAGTTGGGCTGAAAAGCAGAGTGAAGCTTGTCAGTGGTAAAGAAACAGACACAATCAAAGGGTTAGGTTGGGTGTGCCAAAAAAGGTCACAATCACTAGGATTTGTTGTTTTTATTCAGTAAATGTTTGAGATCAGTCTGTGGCTTAGTCACAAGTACTTCTAGTTTTTCTTTTTTGACAATGCACAGGAATCCTTTTATGCATACAATCTATCAGAAAATTTTACCTAGGTAGTTAGAAAAGGAAATACATAAATGTGTCAACAAAAGCCCATCACTGGCCACGGCCCACATTGTCCACACATTATCATGTTGCCTGTAACACTACAGGTCAATGACTCAACCCAGTTAAAATTGTAGGGTAAATAATCCAGCTCCTTCAGCCAGTCAGCCTACAGGCTAAAATGATCCCACTAATGCTAAGCCCAGATGCTTGGTACCTTTTCCACCAAATTACTGGCATTTTCCATTCTGTATCTCCATCCAAAGGCAAAGGACACTAATGCACACCATCATCAGTCATATTGAAGCATAATGTAAAACTTAATATTTTTGGTAAAACTTCTGCAACATGGTCACAAATGACAATGTTGTGGAAACATTTCACCAAGGGGCATCAAAACAACAGTCAGTCTTTGGTCTAATCTCAGCTACCTAGTGAGATGGATGCAAAATGAATTGAAAAACTGCATGCCTCTTCTCTTATCTTTTTTTTACCCCTCACATGTCAGATTGAAAATAAGAAGGTAGGTAAGTAACTTGCCTTGTTTCAACTTCTTAGGCATCTTGTCATGCTTTCCTTCATGAAGATTTCCTGTGAAAAAAAACTAGGTGATATGCCACAACAAAAAATAATGCATTAGAAGCAGTAATAGGTACAGTTAGATCACACACTTGAGGAAAATTGAGGAGCAGGAACTATGGAGCAGGTTGTAGAAAATGTTTTTAAAAATGTTGTGAAACAACCTAATAGTAAAAGAAACAACAACAATTGCTTGTTAACATTCATATAAGTACAAACACAATGTATCTCGCTGGGACGTAGATAGGTACAACCTGAACTTAGCGAGCAGGCATTTCAAATCCATTTTGATTTAAGCCTTAACAATAAAATTACATCACATACAAACCTGGCATGATAAGATCTTGAAATGAGCTTCAGGCAGTTCCCTCCTGCTCCTCTCAGGCAAAATATTCGTCAGAAGCTTTGCCAAGAGTTGAAGATGTCGGACAGTGCTTCGGCAGACGCTTTGCCAGATTGAGATCAAGATCGATTTCCAGAAAACAAGGGCCAAAGATGAAGCAGTTGTAGTAAATAAGTGACAAAGATGTATTTGTTATATGTCCTGAATGTTAAGGTCAGGCATCCAGAAACCAAAAAAATTCAGAAAGACCGCTTCGATCCCCTCCCTGCACACACAACACAAGGGAAAGTTGTGTTGGTTTATCGTCAACAACAGCTGATGTTCGGGCCTTAATTTTCGCGCGCCCCCTATAACACACTTTTTGTAAGATTTATCTGTCTTTCAATCTCATTCATATAATAAAATTTCACATGATATTTCCGAAATAAATATGATTTCAGTGATATTAATTATTTGTAAAAAACGAACAAAAAAGGAACTGGAAACTGAATACTTAAAACACTTAAGTAGAGACATTTCTTACGCTCTTGTTGCAAAAAGAAAGGGAAAAGAATGTGTTCGGTAACAGGAAAGATAGTTACTGTGATGCCAAAGTGTTGTTTTGACCTGTGGTTTTGACAAATGAAAGGGACAGAATTCAAGAAAAGTTTTCGTAAGCAGGTGGTAACAAATATCATAAAACATTTGGCTCAAATATTTGTATAGTGATTTACGGTTAGGTGCATTGTGCTACAGTTTTTTCGCAAGATTTTTTTTTTCGGACAGTCACACTTTTGGTCCGTTGCATTTGAAGTATTCAAGGTAATTCAAGGTGAATCCGTAAACTGCACAACATAAGCTTTAGTGCTTTGGAAGTCTTAAGCTAGTAGTAAGTAACTATAGACAAGCAGAAGCTCCATGTTCATTGTTCATTAGGGCGGGTCATCCGAGAACTTTTTTTCGAGGACACATAATGAAGACCGAAATTCCTACGGAGCATGTCACAAGAAGACTGTGTGAATTTTTTCAATTTTTTTGGTTGAGGTTGCGGGTCGCCGCAGCCAATTAATCAACCGGGTTTTTCGCTACATTTTCACTGCACGCGAGTTTTGAGCACAAATGATTATGATTAATTATTTTCAAATATATACCTCGAAACTTCAGCTCTTCCTCAACCTATTCTGCAAGTCTGTTGGCTGTATCTCTTTAACTGTGGCCATGGTGCCATGCTCTCTGTATCGGTTTTCCGCAACTCGATCGCAGCGCCATCTCTTGAGAGGACTGTTAACCTTGCGTCGGCCGAGACAATATGCATTCTGCTGATGCGATCTTAGGACGCTGATGAAAAAAAAAAACGTAAGGCACAGGAGCGTATATAGCGTGAAAGCTGTCAATTGCAATTAAAGTAGCCATGAAATGTACATATTGGGGGTTCACCTGACTTTACCACAGCCATTATGCGCCAAGTGCGATAGTGTCCGCTGGACCTATTAGTCATTTGATTCTGCGCTGAGACTTCAGCAGCATTATTTTCAGTTTTGGCTTCGATTATTTCCTTGCATGTAAATTTAACCTTTCTTTTGAAATGTAAACCTAGTGTTAGAACTGAACAGTAGAAGCTCAATTGCAAAATAACTAAGTACTAAGTTAGCCTCGTCAACTTAGCCCGGCTTCATCTGACAACAGACTGAGGATGAGTTGCGAGGTATCCTGCTGATCGGCGATCCGCGTATCATATCACTGCCCGAGTCGCGCGTTCTCATCGGACCATCAGATCCTATTTTGATGACCTATTGGGGCTGGGCCACCGCAACAAGCAGTGGAGCATCGAGCTTTGAGGGAAACTGACCTCATAATAACCGCGGTAGTAGCTGCTAAGTGGTCGCCGACGCAATTTGTGATCCCAATCATGTGACATTGTTGCAGTTAGTGGAAAGGAGCCTCCATGTCGAAACGGAACTAATGCCGCGTGGTGGTCCTCGGTGACACTTCACATTCTGTTCTCGGATAGGCAAGTGATTACTAAGGAAATGCCCTTCTGCATTTTACGTGCATAAGGAATAAGGATGCGTCGTTTATCATGATAAATAGGATAGCCGTGCTGGATCATCGGCTATGACGAGCCTGTTGGACGAGCATATTATTGCTTCAGTAAATGAGCCCGGTAGTCAATGCTTATTCTATTTTACACCAAAATCAGACAAGGGCCAAACTATTAAACAAGTTTACAAGACTTGTGGAAAAGCCACTGGACTAAAGCTGCGCCGATCAGTGAACCATTTACCAAGAGTGCCTGTGCATCGAGCAGGAACCGTTCGTGCCGTTTCGGGCAACGCCATGCAGTCCAGATCAGAGAACACTTCTGAACAGCCCGGAAGCAGGCGTCACGCTCTTGACAAATCCTGAGGTAGCTGTCAGTAAGGAAGCTTGAGCCCTTGAATTTGGTAAAATGGCTTACGTTGGCAGATTGCAAGTTACGTATTCCGTCGCGATCGCCCATCATACAACATATATTGACCAGCTTCGAACTATCACCGAGTTCAATGTTGTTCACTATGTCCCAATGTGGTCCGAAATTACGGAGTAAACATTGCAGAGACGGATTACTCCAAAGCATCCAGCTATTGCGAGACCTCTCAGCTCAACGGTCTGTGTTATTCGCCCAGTGATCGACAGGAATAAGTACCGGGCTCACTATAGGAAACTTTTTTTGGGCTGTACTGGCCGATACAGACAGACGGCAAACAGTGCATACACTGCGATGCTTGCTGAACTAAGGAATGGTGATAAAAAGACTCGAGACACTTATGGCAAAAAAGTATAGGAAGCGAATGAGGCAGGAGACATAAAGATATGCGATTCTATCAGCATTTTGCAATAAACAAGTCATGCACTACATGCAGCTCATAGATCGGTCCAAAGAGCGCGTTACAGAGTCACCAATAGCAATCTCGCTGCAAGAGGGTGACCTTCGACCCGCTGCTTAACAAATTAATTTCGATCCGGTGCATACCCATACTCACTACTCAGGCAGTGGAGCGAGCCGTCCGGTTCCTAACTTAGGCAGCATACGTTGCTGTTATTAAGAGAGCACGTCTCGGTTACATCACGTGTGCCATCAGGACGCAATGCAACGCTCTCATGCCGGCGTTTGAATCAATTATCGAAGTGTGATTTTCTGTCCTAGGACGGTTAGGTGGCTGGCTACATTGCATTCAAAAATTGATTCCTGAAGTATTTCGGATCGAATGGGTACAACTCACCTAGTGTCAAATAAGGAACACCAGACACCTAGGAACACCAAAGAACACCATATACCCGACGTGGCAGCGGCTGCGTCAGCTTTTAACGGTCGGAAAGCCGTCAAAATCAATGTTATGCCAAACTCGCTCAATGATGGTGCTGGCTTCGTTGCGCTCAGAGCGCCGATGCTAATCGCTATTCTGAGCACGATTCTGCCACTGGGGTTTCCAAACTTTGTGAAGAGGTGGGGATAAGCATGTAGAACTTGGAAAGTGGTAAATATAGTACCTTTCTCGAATTTTTTCCCACTACATTTTGCAAACAACGAGAAAAATTAGCAAAAGTGGTCTCGAAAAACCGTTGACGGCGCGCCCAGTTCCTTTTCAAAAATTCGCAAAAAATATGTTTTAACCGTTTTATGGATCAGCCCGTAGGAAAATCGCTCTTCACTTGGAAACTTTTTCCATCGACCCGCCCTATTGTTCATCCTTAAATTGTAGTGTTTCAAGACTTCAAGTTAACTTCAACTTCAAGAAGACTTCAACTTAAACTGGAACTTCTGTGAACTTATGAAGCACTAAGCAGCATGCATGGGCAGAGACAGTTTAACTTCTTAGATCAGCTTAGATGAGATTAGATGAGATTTTGCCTGGTAGTGTTCTACAGCTAGCAATCACCTAAATTAATTATGAATAGTGGCATACAAAGGGGGCTGGCAGTGTATGCCAAAAGGGTGAGGTCTTAACCAAGATACCTATAAGAAACAGGTAGGTCCGATGTTTTGAGTAAAGCCCACGTAAAGCCCTGGTGACGTCACTGACATTTCTTATATGGAGAATTTCGCCCATAAGAAAAATATTTTACATACGAAAATTTGTATTTCATTCGGAAAAAATACATTCTATCAATATCATCATGAAACTTATATAATTTAATTAAAAAACTTGAAATCCTTTGAGTGCTTGTCCCAACCCCTGCTATACCTTTGGTCACGTGACTTCCATGATAAACTTTGCGTTTTGCAATGTTATGACTTAAACAGAAGCAATAAATGTTACAAGCGTATTATTTATGATGTTTTAGGCAGCAATCGTGTAATAACATCCTTGAATTATATACATTCTGCTTAAAAGAGGTCACGTGATGTTACCAGATTGTGCTCGGACAGCATCTTCTTGAACTTCGATTTTGAGTACTTTTTACCTTCATTGAGTCCTAATAACGGACGTTTTTAGTTATAAAATGAAGCAATGAATCTATTGAGGGCAAAATTTAATCATTTTTGCACTTTCAAGCCGGGCTATCCTGGCATGAACTTCGGCCGGTTTGTGTGTGAAGCCTATGGTGAAGGGAAAACTTCACGCCCGGCTGACGTCACAGACCTCGGCTACCAAATCGTGTCCGGTGGGGGTCGGTCTTAACCCGGCAGGCGATGGGCCTACCAGCCACCTTTCGCGCGGTGGGGGATTTTTTGCCCCCCCCCCCGTATCCGAAACTACTGGACGGATCCGGAAAATTCAAACGGCGTTCGATAGCCCTGTCAAATTTGTAGAGGGTAACCAAATTTCATTGACCTCGGGGTCACCGATGATGTCACAGGTCAGGTCAAAGATAAAATGTTTCACTGTTCACGGGGCTTCTAGGGAAAGCGCTATAACACTGAGTAAAGCGCATTTTGTCGAAAATCAGCGATTAGGCGTCAGTTGTCTAGTACATATGTTGCTATTAGAGGTCACTGGTCATACCAGGTCAGGTCACAGGTCAGGTCACCAAGGGTCACCACATGAGCCCAACTTTACTAAGGTTAATGCGATACATGTTTTATGGCCAGTTTTTCATTTCCAACTCAGTGGTGTTGGTTATAAGACCATCAGGTACGGTTTATGTCACTTTCTGGTGGAGGTCAGGTCAAGGTCAGGTAAAAAAGGTCAAATTTCAAAGTTGATATTTTGCATAAAATGGGTATCGATTCGATGCAGCTTGTCACGGGGAGTCTAATGGTGGTCTTTGTTTTGCGCTACGAGGTCTAGAATTGCTAAAAATTGAGTTTGAAAATTTGACATCATCAATTTTGAACAGTTTTTTCGCTATTACTTGGCCAAAAAAAGAGGTATCGATCTCAAATTTGGTATGTAGATAGAAGGTGGTAGGGACTATCACATATATTCCGTTTTTTCGAAATTCAAAAAACTTTTTGGATTTTTTGGCTATTATATTAAAAAAAAATCTTTTTTTTTATTTTTGGGGGTCAAAATCCAAAAATTCGAAAAACCGAAATAACAGTTTTGTAGCCCTTTTGATTTCACACCTTTTATGTCTGAAACATTTTTCTATATCTCTAAAGCTGTAGGTCTGACAGCTCTTCCCGCGAAACCTTTTATTGGGTCGAAAATGGCAAAAATGACGTCACTCTGACGTCATTAGCGGCCAACCTATCATAGCCTTTGGAAAAATTTTTGGTCACCATGTGCGCTAGCTGCTCCCGGGAGGGTACTGAAAGTTTGGTGACGATCGGCGCAGCGGTTCTCGAGCCTCGAGGTATATTGAAAAAAACTAAAGGGGGGGGAATGCCCCCCCCCCGCCTGGAAGGTTAAGAAAATTTAGATAGATAGATAGATAGATAGATAGTTTATTAAGAGCCTCCATTGACATGGTTTTTATGGTGTCTACGTCAATGACAAATAAACAGACATTGTAAAAACGCTTAGGCAAGACAGGTGCTACATAAAAATGACACACTGGCATAAAACAGTGAATATAAAACACATGTGAGAACCGTGCTTATACCTACATGACAAGTGACCGCTGACTACCTGTGGCTATTCCACGCACTCGCCGCACGATAAAGAAAACTTCGGCGGGCAAACTCGGTGCGGACCCGGGGCAGCTGCAGCCGGCCGTCGGACACGGCGCGGGTGCTGCGGGATGACACATCGGCTCGCAGTGCGAACTGTTGGCGCAGAAGTTCGGGAGTGATAGATGAGTCGAATGAATTTATGTTTTTGTTATTCAGATTATCCACTCTGGGCAGGAACAGCTACTCTGTGCAGCAGATGTACCTCACAATGTGAAAACAATTAGATAAAAAAGACCCTCGAAGGTGCTCCACATGCACTGTCATTTGCTCAGTAGGTAGGTAGTTCAAGGTGCTATTATTTTCTTTAGGGCTCAAATGGGTCTGCAAATTGTGGTGTCCTCTAAACTTAGGCTGAATTACCAGGTAGTCACATTGATTGTCTAAGTAACATATGTAGGTTTTCCCATTGCTTGGATGCAACTGCATCAGTCACATAGTATGCTGTGAATTGAAATGCATGCTAGGTCAGGGTGCTTGCCCTTACACAATATATATAGTACCTATGTAATTACCTTGCCTGGGTGATAGCAAACTCATGCTATTTTAGTGTGGGATTTTACAGCTGCACAGTGCACAAATAACCTCTGTAAACTTGTAGCAATGTGTCCCATTATATATTTAAACACATTGGATGTGTTGACTTTTGGCTATTGAACAGTTGATATAACATCACCTGACAGGAACTCTGGTGTATCTACAGCAGTGCTGGGTGCATAAACAAGTGACTTTTGGCCACAGAAGCTGCCCTGAAGTCGCTGTCCATGTACCGTCACTGTTTGAGAGTTGCTGCATCACAGGCTGCTGGCCTCTACAGGCCACTAGCCACTTCAGCCATCAATAATGCCTGTAAGCACTAACAAATACTCAGTGATTGCTACTTTCCTATGATGCTCTTTGATGTTCAATTTTTTGAAGTTTCATAATCCATGTCCCATTATATCTAAGCTGAGATTTTTACTAAATGCTAGAGTACTTATAGTCATCCCATTTGTTTGAACATGAGTGAAAATAATAATACAGTAAGAAGTGCTGTTTTTATCCAAATATGCTTGACATATCTGTGACTATTTTTCAGTGCCCTCAATGGCAGGTGGTAAACTGGGAAAGAAGGCTGCCAAGGCTGGAAAGGCTGGATCGCCAGTAGAGAAAAAGGTTAGCTATACTCCTTAGATAGTACTCCTTAGATAGTACCCCTTAGATAGTACTCCTTTCTATCATGACGGATGGTTGTTTTAGACTCCTCTATGTTTAATATACTCGCCACAGTCACTCATCATTTCAAACCCAAACTGCGTACATGAATAAAAAGTGCTCGGGAACTAAAGGACCTAAACCTCACTACTATTTTGTTTAAATTCCAGATTGTCCGTGGGTAAGATTGAGTTTTCAAGTCACTTTTTCATCAACACGATTGAATCTCAATTCTCAATGACATTTCATCATAAATCTTGTTAACCTGTTGCGACCTCCGTTGTCACTAGTCTCTCCCGATGCGGCGCGCTGTTTCCGTTTCTCGACGCCAGGTGTCAGTACGGTCGCCCCTGTGTGTTTCCAGGTGGTACCCGTGGAGACGGACCCGGAGCGGTTGGTGCAGTACTGCTGCGGCTCCAACATCATGGCAGACGGCGAGGACGTCAAACTGGGGCCCGACTCCGAGTACCCGGACTGGCTCTGGGAACTGGATACCTCCGGTAGGTCCATGGGTCTTCACGTCAGGCAGTGTCTACCTCAGACGAGAGCCTGCGGTCGCTGGGGGTCGGGTCTCGTCCGCTTTCTTGATGCAGCCTGTCTCCTGTCCTATGTCTTTTTTTCGGACTGCTACAGGCTACGGGAATGTGGATTATCCGCAACCCATCCCATGACCTGGTCGCTTTGGTGATGACCTGCACGGACTGCTTCTGTATTTGTTTCGAAACGGTTACCTGCACAGTGCACACCTTTCAGCGATCGCTGGGCGACCAGCGCATCGCTCCGTGATCCTGATATTCCATGGCTCTTCGATACTCCCGGCATGATCATATCACCAGGGTCTCTCCCTGTCTGCTGAAAAGGGTGATTTGTCCTTTGACATGGCTCTATTTGTGTACGGCTGGAGGGATCTATAGTTGTTGGTGCCGTGCTTCAGTTTGCCTTAAGGCGGTGCCAGCGGAAAGGGTGTTGCTTTATTCATGTCGTTCCGTTTACCTAACCTGAAAGGGATAAAAAATGCGTTACTAACTTTTATTCGTTGTTGATAATTTATTCTCCGGTTTTAAGTAAATTCCAAACTTCTTTGTCTTTGTGGAGATATTCTCATTTGTTGAACGTAAAATATGCATTGTGCACCAGCGCTTCTAGCGTTGGTGATGTTAACAGCTGCTTTTTGTGTTGGAAATCTTATCAATTGTAGATCCATCAATAATGTGCTGGCTCGTACAGATCATTCATTTGGATATATCAGTCGATAGACCGATTTCCCAATCTACAGGACTGAAGCTCTTCACTGGCAGCAGTTGCAGATTTCCGTAAGTTCTATTTTCACAGGCTCTGATCAGCATTTGTTTCCGTCAGGCGTGGCTCCCCCTCTGGAGACCCTCTCTCCCGACACACTGGAGTACTGGTGGCTGGTTAGGAACCGGGCCATGCGGAGAAACAATCAGCTGCTGGCAAAACGGAAACTCAAACGCTGAGCAACGGTCACTCAGGTTTTCGTGGGTGCGATTTTTTACGTTGAACTTTGGGAGGTGCAAGCTCTGGGTGATTCATGAACGCAAGTCAGAGAGGGCAAGTGCGATACGTGGGTTTCGATTCCGAGGACGTAGATGGAAGTGTGTGGCGCTGTCATTGCTGGTTACGCTGTAATATTGTGTGTTTATCTCAATATAGAAATGATCGGAATCTTCTGTACGTTGTAGTGTGGAAATTCTGTCCGATCCTCCTCGGTGGATATTTTTCCTTCGTCACAACCAGGATTATGTGGTTCAGCACATCCCTCAATTTCTCTATTTGGTCTGCTTTGTTTCCATTGTCCCTACCTAAACAATCATAGCTTTCTACATTTTCTGCTGTGCCCTAGATATTTCACTTCTTATAAAATATACAATTTGGTATTACCCATTCGGTCATGATATTCCACTAGAATTTGGACAGGTAGCTGAACTGATGAATGTTCCGCTAGTTAGTCATGGAAATGTATTATCAAATGTTACACTAGGCAGAGTGACTGATGGTTGACCAAATTTTAACCAGATTTTCCACTTTTTCGACAAAGGATGACATGACTTTCTCAGCAGATGCTTGGGTGTAGGCTGCGATGAGTTCGTTATTTTCGTTTCAGAACTTGCCATTTTTTCACAAGCTGGACAGGTGATTGACCAAATGCTGCACCAGGTAGACAGCTGGGCTGTCAAAATTTTCCACCTGTGATACAGATGGCCAAGCCCATGGGACGCGTGGCAGGCCGTCACAAAAAGGCGTCGCGTTCTTTGGGCCGAGGCACATGCACATTGCACGTGTTGTGAGTCCACTTCTGGGGATAGTTCAGGATGTGGGAACCAGAAGCAATGTGCAGTTTTAACTGTCGTTCGTTTATCCAGGTACGCCTTTGTGTGGTGGCCCCGGGTGACGTTACGCCGACTGAAAACGCTACGTGCCAGCCCGTTATCGTCGCTCCAGAACGCTTCGTGGCGTTTTATCGCGGTTTCAATTCCATCAACCACTAGACAAGTTGCAGCTATTTAGTTCCACTACTCACGAAAGCCACTATGAATAGTTCACTTACCTGCAGACTGCCGCATTCTCCTTTAGGAATGGTATGCTCTTGGTGAGACCAGCTGTCCCTCGCTCCCTCCTCCCCTCCCCTCCCCTTCCCGCCGGCGTCCACCGTCCCTCCCCGGCTCATCTCTCCCCCGGGCCCGTTCTATTCTGGCCGCCGGACCCCCTCCCCGACACGCACACACGGTCCACTCAACAGGGATCGCCCCCAGGATCTGTCCCGAAATGAACCCATTAGAGTTCCATTCTCACTTCTCTGGCGATTGTTTTGTTTTCGTCCGCCGCGTAAATCTTGTCTCGGGTGTCGCCAAACCAGCCAACACCTGAGCCCATTTCACAGGGCATTAAACGACTTAACGCGGTGCTATGTCTCTGTCCGTTTAGCGTGCCTTTAGTGGGCAAACAACTGGAAACTGTGAGTGGCCCACACTGGCTGAGGGGTCGCGATTCGACCCAAAATGACTGAGGAACTGCGGTTTCAATGCCGGCCTGAAGTGGCCCACTGTCTGAGGGGTCGCCAAGTTGACCCAGTGGTTCTGGTACGAAAGAAAAAAAAAATGAAAGCCTGCCGCTTATCTAAAACTAGTGGATTTTCTCAATGAGCGGTACGAACTGAATCTTCTCGCAAGCAAACTGTTCTACAGCAAACATCTCTTGCCTTAACTTTGCCTCGCTTGCAAAATTGGAAACTGTTTATGATTGACAATTACCTACTGTATGTATTACGCCTTTTGTGCTTTGCACCATGGGTATCATAACCTCAAGCAGTGGCGTATTTAGGGGGGGGGGGGCATGGGGGCCATGCCCCCCCCCCTTTCCGCCCAGCCGCCCAGATGGCGCCCCAATTAGCGCCGACTAGGCTGATGCCGTTTTACAGAGGGAACATGAATAAAAAAGTGATGTGCAGGCAGGGATCGAGCTCAATATCTCTTTGGGGGGTGCCTGGACACCTAAATGTTCTCCAAGGCACCCCCAAATACGACCTGAGCCCCCAAATGTTGAAGGGCGCCCCTCCGGATACCAGAATATTCCGAACCCCCGGGGTCGATGGCGCCCCTGAAGAGCCGCTGGCACCCATCTGAACGGAACAGTCGCCCCATTAAAGGTTGATGGCGCCCCTCCAGAGCGTCCGGCGCGCCTCTGAAGATCACAGTCGTCCTCATCCGAGGTCGTTGGCGCCCCTCAAAAGTCACTGGCGCCCATCTAAACGGAGATTACAGCTGCCCCATCTTACGATCGATGGCAACCCTCTGAAACCAATGGCGCCCTTCTAGAGTAGGTACCCGGCGTCCCTCTGAAAATCACATTCGCCCCATCCGAGACAACGCCCCTTGAGACTACAATCGCCCCACCCAAGCTCAAGGAGCCCCTCCAGAGCGTCCGGCGCCCTGCTGAAGGCAACAGTGGCCCCATCCATGCCCAATGGCGCCTTCAACGTCCTTCTAAAGATCACAGTCGCCCCCATCAATCCGAGTTCGCTGGCGCCCCTCAAGAGCCACTGGCGCCCACCAGAACCGGAATTTCAGTTGGCCCATCCTAGATCAATGGCGCCCCTCTGAAACACTGGTACCCCTCTGAAAATCCCAGTCGGACCATCCGAGATGAATGGCGCCCATCCAGACCGGCCGACGCCCTACTGAAGGCAGCAGTGACCCCATCCAAGCACTGCACCCATCTAGAGCACCCGGTGCCCTTCTGAAGATCACATTCGCCGTATTCGAGATCGTTGGCGCCCTCCAGTAAACGCTGACGCCCATCTGAATGGAGACTTCAGTCGCCCCGCCCCATTCAAGATCGATAGAGCCCCGCCCCCTGAAACCACTGACACTAGGTCAGTGGTTTCAGGGGGCCCATTTGACAATGGGGCTTTCTCATCGACATCAAAGGCCCTTTTCAAGATGCAGCAGCCAGGCGGCGCCGAGCTGGGCTAGGATGTGCCAAGCGTTTCTTATAGGTAAGGCAGCCTCGTTAGTGCCACCCCTCGTTGCGATACCGCCCCTTCACCGTACAATGCCACCCCTCAATTCAAGTGGTGTGCCTCAGCGCAGTGCCACCCATTATTGCGATGCCGCCCCCGCCAAGCAATGCGGTGCCGCCCCTAGCTCACGCGTTTTTTATTGAACGTGTTGGGGGTGTTTGAACACCCTTTTCTAACTCATCTTGTGGGTCACGTCGAGACACGCAGAAGGCGGCGTTCGAAAGAGCGTCCAAAACTATTACAAAACTACTTAGATCATTTTTAAGGTTAGGTCGAACTGGTCGAAGGTCAGGTCACCGGAGACAACCGAAAATCAAGTTTCGCCGATTTTGACATTTTTCGACATGGCGGCGCATAAGTCAGGATCAAAGAGATTGAGCTACAGCGCCGCAGCAAAGCGCATTCGATAGCTCTTTTTATGCTCTTTCTTATACGTTATCTCAGATTTTACCTAAGAAAAACGTCTTAGCCTCAAAATATACGTTTTCGCGGAGGGTGTTTATCTGTAATAACTTTTGGCTTAGACCTGCACGAGATCAGTTTAACTGGCATCGTGTTCTATTTTTCGAGACAAGGCAAATGAACCGGAATTTCGCATTAACCTTCCAGGCGGTGGGGGGCATTTTTTTGCCCCCCCCCCTTTAGTTTTTTCGATGTATCTCCAGAACCGCTGCGCCGATCGTCACCAAACTTTCAGCACCCTCCCGTAAATAGCTATTGCACATTGTGACCAACAATTTCTCCAAAGGCTATGATAGGTTGGCCGCTAATGACGTCAGAGTGACGTTTTGGATTTTTGGATTTTGACCCCTAAAAATCAAAAATAGGTTTTTTTAAATATAATAGCCGAAAAATCCAACAAAATTTTTAAATATAAAAAACGGAATATATGTGATAGTCCCTACCGCCTTCTATCTACATACCAAATTTGAGATCGATACCTCTTTTCTTGGCCAAGTTATAGCGAAAAAAAAAACTGTTCAAAATTGATGACGTAACATTTTTCAAACTCGATTTTTGGCAATTATAGACATCGTAGCGCAAAACAGAGACCACCATTAGACTCCCCGTGACGAGCTGCATCGAATCAATGCCTATTTTATGCAAAACTATCATTTTAGACAGTTACATTTTAGACAGGTACTAGCTTTTTGTCACTAGCTGACAATGGCGCCCCTCTCAAGGGAAAAAGTCGCCCCCTCGAGCACCATGGCCCCCCTTTCGTTGATTTCTGGCTACGCCACTGAGTCCTCAAGCACCTCAAGCTAAATTACCTCAATGAAATGCAAATGTTCAACCGGTTGTTTGCAATGAGTTAGATGCTTGTCGGCTGCATGCACTCCAATTGCCTTACATGACTGTTGAAACGGTTCCCAGTGATATGGTTTCCGTGTATCCGCGGATTTCCGGCTGGTTTGTGGTGTCCCTGTGGGTCTTGCCGTGGGGACCCGGCGCCCCCGCGGCCCGGCGGGGGTCAGGCCGCCCGCCGGCCGACCGCCCGGCCAGCGTTAATTACCCCATTTGCATCGTGTCGCGCTAATCCTATCGGTGAGCGGCGTTCATATATCGCACTGATGGGACAGCGAGTAATGAAACTCGGCGTATAAATCAATTTTTCGCCGTGTAATGGCCCGCTAAATGAGCGGCCTAACACGCGGCCATGATGGGTGGCGGCGCCGGCCGACCGTAATGGAACGGCAGCGCCGGGCGGCGACAGGGGGCCGCGCCGCGACCCGGACATGTAGAGCACTGCCGTGGCGCAGAGAGGATTTAATGTGTAGAGGAAGGGAAAAGCAAAACAATACGGACGTTTTTGCTAAGTTGAATCAAATGTGAACCGAGTGTTTCTCCGGAATATTTGTCTCTATGGCGAAGCAGTCATGTTACGTGTACCTATGGCAATTGTTTTTAATGACTGTTTATGGTTTAAATTCATATTTGCTTTTTGCTACCGTTTATCTTATATGATTCGATCCTTGCTTTCTAAACGGAAATCTAGAAATCAATAAACTGGAACAATGAGTCTAACTGAAACAATGCACTGAACTGAAACAATGAGCAATGAACTGAATCAATGAACTGAACAACGAACTGAAATCTGGATATCAATGAATAGTGCCGAAAGACATCACCTGCTATTTAATAT